TTTTTGATTTCTTATGTGCTTTACCGTTCTTTGGAAGAATCGTCCTCACAAAATTTTAGCCCCGAGAAGTCAAACCTTTCATAGGGATGCATTCAACTGTTCTTTATTCCTCAAGGAAAACACCGTAATTTGCCTAAAACTGTCTCTCTGTGCATAATTAATCGAATCTAATGCGGTCTGCACAAACAATTCTTGCCCTCGGATACGCCACGCACGCGCCTGTGGCTGGCAGTCCTCGAAATTGCGACCCCCTTCCGACCAAAATGCGACCCCTTCGTTCGAACAGTTCGAACGGACGGTTGACCCTGCTGGAACGTGCGATTAAGCGCTGGGGCGTGCAAGTGAACTGGAGCACTGGTACAGAGGTCCTTTGAATGGCGCTCAATCAAGTGCAATTCATCGCATACTCCGCGGCTACCCTAGAGCTGTTGCGAAAGCTTGCAATTGTCTTCAAGTTCTTTCAATTTCTTAGACACCTACTTTCATGCTATGACGAATGACTGCCAGTCTAGCCCAGCATCAGACTGATGAAGTTAGATGGTAAATGTTGAATATTGTTCGATAATGGACAATGAATTGTTGTTCGCCGTTGGATTCATTTTGAGCGCTCCGCCAGATTCAGAATTTTTTCTTGAATTTTTTAAATTTGTTTTGGGTTTGTATGAAGTGTAGGCTTGTAGGTAACAAGAACAGAAGCAAAGGCACAGCTCTGGATGTACAATATCAGCCTATATACTGCATATTCTATAAAGGCTAGCCCCGGGATAAAACTGGTGAATAAGAGCGCTTCGTGGTGATGCTGAGCTGCGGAACGACCTGAAAGTGGAGAAAGGAAGCAAGAGAAATCTCGGAAACGCTGAAATTAAGGCCTTAACCTTCAAAAGGTCGGATGTGGTACGATGGCGAGACAGGGCGATCAAAGAAGACAAAACACGCGAGAGAGCACGCCGTTCGAGAGAGCACGCTGATCTCTACATCAATCGCGGTGGGTGGGAAGCGTTGCAACGGGGGTCGATGGTTGCAGGCCCGTAAGGATTAGCGCCCCAATCATGCAATGCAGCGGCTCCACAACTTTTTTCGTGGTGTCCTTCCTACTAGTCGGGCTAATGCCGGGGCTTGTCTTCTTGCTCTATGGCAAAGTTGAGCCTTTACGAGCGACTGAATTCCATTCCAGTCAAAACTTAGTGCTATTAGCTGGGCGAGTTTGTACCAGATTTCGGAGAAAGCTCTATAAATAGAGGGACAATCTATGTAGGCAGTTGGTGCTCATATTGTGATAAGGCGTCCCTAGTGTCGTTTTTTCTCAAGTGCAAATTTTTTCTACAAAAATCCCACTACACTGCACGTCACATAATGTCAATGACCTTTCAAGAGAGATCCACTTGCTCTACAAAACATAATGTTTCGCTTCCACATTCGTTCCACAGAGCTTGAATATTAGGCCTGCGAAAGGCCCGACGACAAGAAAAATTCGAACGGGACCTCTCACTTGTACTCCCTCCGAAAAAATCGATCAATGATGTATACCTTACTTGGTCGTGAACTCGGCCATTCCGTTATTAGATTTTCTGCTAACAACAAGTCGTGTCATTCCTTTTATGGTTTTGTGTCAGGACTCGATGTTAGCTACTGTCTCGTCAAATTAGACCCAAAAATTCTCACAGCCGGGGGATTGGAAAACTTTTCGATTGCTAAAAAAGTCGTGACTAAGTGAGTGTATGCTTGATTGATTTTATCACCTTTTAGGGGAAATTATTTTTGAAGAATTGTGGTCACACACGTTGGTTGGACACCTTTCCACGCAGCTCTAAAATTTGAAACATTCTGTAGCGGAAATAAACAAAACATCTGGCCGAATAGGGCAGCTCACGAATTAAACATCGTTTGACGACAACGCGCGTTTAGGCTTCTTTGACCGCGTGGGACCGGCGCGATTTTGCGAGCGCCGCCGCCTCAGGTCCATCAGGCGAATTTTGCATGGTAAATGAATAAAACATGATTGATACAAAGTTAGATTAGTCTCTTTCAGTGCGTAGAACAAGCGCCCAGAGATATAGTAGTGAAAATTTGGTTGAAAGTCGGATGAAATGATAGTGAAAAAGCAAAATTTGTCAGAATCAGCTGCAATGAACCGTCAAAAGCAATTTTGCACCGATTATTGCAATCCAAACATATCTTTTCTTCATACTTGAGGTTCCGTACTGACTTACACTACCCTTATGTAAACAAAAAATCAACTGGGTTTGACGATTTCGTTCGGTTCAGAAAACCTCCCCTAATTTGAAGCACACGTGACCACTCTAAGAGCTACTATGTTTCTATCTATGTTAAGGTTTTCTCTATGGAATGAATACAAGATGCCTAAAAATGAATCACGTGTGCGAGAAAAAAAATAAATGCATTGGGTGCAGGAGACATACGTCCCGCGTTGTCCGTTGTGGTCTGCAAAGTGCGCGGACGTATTGTCTGCGCTGTCTATAGTCAACGTGTTAAATATCGCCCTTGGCATTACAATTGATTTTTAGCTGGAGAATCCGAGTATGAAACTTTGCTTAGCGTTCAACAGAATTCTCAGACTAAATTAGCGAAGCTCAGAAGACGGTCGATGGAATAAGGAAGTTCTACACTGAAATCTCCGTAAGGCGAAAAATAGATTATGAGCAGTCGACGTTAGGCTTATCTTCGTTGAATGGACCTTTTACTTGCAGTCCTAAAATTCGAAGTGCTCGCAATGGATGTGACGGGAAAACAATTTCTTTCATAGAGCAGTTAAGCCCCTCTCGACTAGTGATGACACGATGTTAAAAATGGGAATTCAGCAGGAATTCTCCGCTTGAAGAGAGACGAAACTACTCATTGGATAACATACATATGTATTGGATATGTTCACGTTGGTTGCGTGATCCTCATCGCCCAGAGGACAACGATTTTCTTAACTTGAATATCTATACAAACCGGTTGAAAATCAGGCATTTCACGTAGATTGCGAGCGATCTGATTGAGGCTTCGATCGTTGAAGGCGGCTTGCGAGAACAGCCTCAGTTCTCTCCAGTCACTTTCACAAAGAATTTGATTCTCGTGAAGGCGAAATCGTTCGCCAACAACAAAACTGAAAAAAATTAATATTACACCATTTCAAAATAAAATTCATTTCTTGTTGAAAACAGTCCAGCATGTACCAGAAACGTTTCAGGTCGCGCCAGCTTTTTGAAAGCGGTATTTGCATTATATGGGGACACGTGCATAGAAGACGAAACCACGCCTCATTTTTCCTGAGCGTCGGTCTGCACTGCAGAAAAGGGTGAAAAACTGGGTTGTGGTTTGATCCCCGGTGGTACAAAGCTTGGTATTTTCGATTGAAACTTGCGTGCTACAGGTACAAGCGGCTAGTCATAGATCCCATTTTACCAAAAGGACCATCAGCGACTCACATAAGTAGATTTTGCCAGAAATTTATGTCAGAAAAACGTGGCGCTTGAGCATTTATACCTTCTTTTTGGCATTCATTGAGCCGCTCAGGAAACATAATATTACGATAGTTCCGCGTCTAACGCATATTACCGAAATGTGAACGCTCAGCGGTCAATGTTGAGTGTGGTTCAGGCAGCGCCTGTCCCGAACGCGCCATTATAAGACCCGTTGCTCGCAGTATACACAGGTGTCAGACTTTGCAACCAATCTCGCGATTCCTAGCGATTGGCCGCAGAGTCTGACACCTGCTATAGGCGCTCTACGTTGGGAAAATGATGAGTGTGTTGCGCACCCGCTGGTCGCCACGAATCTTGCTTCAGTGATACTGGATACCACAAGTGTCCTTTTTTCTATCTGGAGGGCTGAGCGAAAGCATACGAGCAACGATCAATGCTGAATTTTAGAGAAGTTCTTTCTTTCACAGGGCTACTTTAATGGAAACGGGAAGATGAAGCTCACCTCTCTGAACAAACACTGCATCGAAAGCACTTCAGGTGGTACAGGTTGTTTCTGAAAAAAAACTACGTTTTGGACTGAGGAGTACACGAAGGATTTCTATGACAACTTTACGCGTGGACCGTTGAACATTCGAAGGTCAACTGGAAGACGTGGCTACTGTAGTAGTAGCTCATCGACTGACTAACCGCTTTTCCCATTCCGGCACCACTAACCACCTATCGCTTCACTTATTGATAAACGACCTTTGTAAACTACCATTTTTATTAGCCGCATTCTAGGTGTAGTACGCTTCGACTTTACGGTAAATCGAGTTAAAGACAGTGATTACGATAGATTCAAGAAGGGTTTATAGGAGACTGGTGGTGCTCAGTGGTACGCCAGTGGCGAAAAAAGCGGAGAAATCCGTCAAGAAAACGCAAAACGGGACCCCTTTTTTGGCCGTTGGTTTTCACTCATGAACAGGTCAGAAAGCGGACGTATGAACGAGTTCAGCGCAACGCGTTTGGTGACAGCATGCCAATCCATGCTCAGTCGAGTTGCTTTAGTTGTGCCGCGACTGGCAACACAGTTCCCCGAAAGCTATCAAGTGAACCAGTGGGCGTAACGCCGCTG